CCTCGGGCAGTGCCTGAGTTTCCAAATGGTCAGTCCGCCCCTGGTTTTGCCCCATCCACCAGGGTGATTTCTCTGACACTTGGCTTCTGACTGGAACCACGACAACTCATGCTTCAGTACTTGATCGATCTTGAAGTTTGTAAACTTGCTTTGTAAAGATTTCCACATATTTGTTTCCTTGAATTCTGTGACACGCAGTCACTATGCCCTATGAGTAGGTCCTGCTGTGTCACACATTTCATAGAGCCTGCCTTCTGAACCACAGAGGTGCTGAGAGGAGGGGCTTCAGGAGACGGAGTCAGGGCAGCTGTCACTGCTTGCAGGCAGCAAGGTACTATGGGATATGTAGTCCTTAGAAATGGAGGAAAAGCTGCAAAGCATGCAGGGAATCCAAAAAGCTATGGGAAGAGATGGCCAGCAGGCAGGCAGAACTCTACTACATGAAAGGTGATTTTTTTAAGTGAGCTTATATTGGATTGTCAAATATAACTATTGTTTGTATTGCTATTACAATGCTCATGGTATAAATTAAAGTGAATGTTGTGCTTGTAGATTTCCTTTAAGCCTGGGTTCAAACTGATGTGGTGCGGCACACTGCATGTGATTCGCACAGGAACTGCACTCCTGTGCAAAATCACATGCCATTTCTGTGGGGTGCAATTTGAGACATACATTTTTTATGGCTCAGATCCCACCGCATCCGCACCAAAATAGCGTTTCTCTTGCGAGACATAGGGCAATCGCAAATGCCGGAATCGCACGGAAACTGCAAGGTCAAAAGGACCATGCGGATGTGTTTTGGAAAAAGTGCATTCATCTTTTCCTTGCATGAAATGTGGGCAGAGCATCTCATTCAAATTAATGGGCTGCTGTGCCCACGCAAAAGCGGGCCACATGGCCTGCACTATTGTGAACTGGGCCTCACAGCAAACAATGTTTTCCTTTTTTGGGATAAAGGTTTTACATAAATAAATAAAAGCTGATTGTTATAAGCATCCCTGCCAGTGGTAACTGGATACATTCTGCTGGAGAGCTTGTTCCTTTAAAAAAACAACAGACTTACTGGCTGGATCACCAGATGAAAATAGAAGAAAGAAAACCTAAAACAGAAAATGAATACAGCCATCACATCTAAGAATTGGTAAGATGCAATATAATAAATGTTTGTGATTAAGTTTAATACCACATTAAACCCAAAAGCAAAAATGTAATATATTGCAGCTTACCAATCATTAGATGTGGTGGCTGCATCAGTTTTCTTTCCTTAGACTTTTGTCATCTATTTTCTCCTCGTGATCTGGCCAGTATTACACCTCCTGTATTAGAGTGCCCTCACTCTGGATGAAGGAGCACAGGGTGGCACAGCAGACAACAGCTTTGTCAGTCTGGGGGGTAGGAGAGTGTTAGATGTACTAACAGATTTATATACACTAACAAATTGAAGCCAAACTCCAGCTAATACTTCATAAGCAGTTACAGCAACAGTTTTTTCCTTTTGGATAAAGGATTTACATATATAAAACCTGATCGTTGTAAATACCCTTGTCAGTGTTTAAATGGTTTGTCTTATCCCTGTAACTGCTACATGTGCAAGAAAGCTTGTTCTGTTGAAAAACAACAGACTTTCTGGCAGGATCACAGGTGAAAATAAACTAAAGAAAACTAATGGGTTCGAATCCCAACCATGGCACCACCTGCCTGGAGTCAAGGTTGACTCACTCCTGGCTCCAATTAGGAAAATGAATTCCAGAGTTTATCAAGACATTTTGCAGGAAAACGTACGACCATCTGTCCGCCAACTGAAGCTCCGCAGAGGATGGGTGATGCAACAGGACAATGACCCAAAGCATACAAGTAATTCAACAAAACAATGGCTGCAACAGCACAGAATACGCCTTCTGGAGTGGCCCAGTCAGAGTCCTGACCTCAACCCAATTGAAATGCTGTGGCATGACCTTAAGAGAGCGATTCACACCAGACATCCCAAGAATATTGCTACACTGAAACAGTTTTGTGAAGAGGAGTGGTCCAAAATGACTCCAGATCGTTGTGCAGGTCTGATCTGCAACTACAGGAAACGTTTGGTTGAGGTTATTGCTGCCAAAAGAGGGTCAACCAGTTATTATGTCCAAAGGTTCACATACTTTTTCCTCCCTGCACTGTGAATGTTTACATGTTATGTGCAATTAAACCATGACAACATCTAATGTTTGTGTAGCATTATGTTCAGCAGACTGTGTTCTTCTATTGTTGTGACTTAGATGACGTTCAGAGCACATTTTATGCCCAATTCATGCAAAACTCCACGTAATCCCAAGGGGTTCACATACTTTTTCTTGCAACTGTATATGTAAAGATCTGTGTAAATTGACGGCGCTATATAAGTACCTGAAATAAATAAATAATAAATAATAATGCAGCCATCACGTCTAAGAAATGGTAAGCTGAAATATAATAAATGTTTACTTTTGGGTTTAATACCATTTTAAGTAAGGTACGCTGTTACATTTATTCTTTTTATTTCTGCATGAAAGCTTTAATTTATTTATTTCAGGTACTTATAGAGTGCCGTCAATTTACGCAGCACTTTACATATATATATGTACATGACACTTCAATTTGTTTTCTGTGTATTTTATACAGTGCTTATATTTTGTGCTAAGCCATTTACATCAGTCCCTGCCCCCAGAAGAGCTCACAATCTAACTTCTCCACCACATTTATTCTTTCATTAAAAATAGATTCTAATTAACCTCCCAGTTTTATTTTTGGATTGAAAGAGAAACATGCAGCATCTATAGGAAACCCACACAAACACAAGGAAGCATGCAAGCTGCGTGCAGATACTGGCTTGCATGGCAATCAAACCACACACTGCAATGCAGGCAGACAGAACACTTTTCCACTTGTGTTGACAGGTGCCCTTTAACAACCATTCAGGAAAATACACAATATAATCCATTTCACATTTTCTCTCGGCTCTCCGACTGGCTCACACACTCACATCACTAGAGGCGGGTTTATCATCAGCCTACAAATGCTGAATACATGCAGCCAGCTTCAGTCTATCTGGTATGTGAACAAACCAGGCAGTGTGGGTACCGTGGACAGACGATGGGATTACAATGTAACCACTAACCAACTGTCGTTTTTCACGGTGGGCATCAGAACATCATAAGTTACCATCCACAAGCCATCAATCAGGCATTCCCTTGGAAGAGAACCTGTGTCTTTGCTGAGATCTTAATTGGAAGATTGGCACATCTGGAACTTTTGTCTTTACGTTGCTTTGGGTTGGAATTTTGGTGCAGCTATGCTGAAGAATCTGAGCAATATGTTGTCACTGATCATGCTACAGATAGCCACAGTGGCCACAGGTAAATGCAAATCTTTTCTTTTTGGTTTTAAAAGGATCTGAAAAGTTCTGATGAGATACAATTTTTAATACCTATTGTAGATGTTTGTGGAGGTATTCTGGGTCATCTAAGAAGCTTTCACTGTTCTGAAATTGTTAGATTATTTGGATAAGTAGTGAAACATCTTCAATATTACAGAACAAATCACGTTTAATGTGACAAATTCCTGGGTATAGTACTCCCTGACATTCTTTGTGCTGCACTTTACTTTCTTGTACTGTTCTGGAAAAACCTAAAAATCCGATAAATTCTTTGTGAAACAAATTGCTGGGTATACCTAAATTAGATGTTTCTGAAAGTATGTCAGGTCATCCAAGAAGCTTAGTTCTGAAATGGTTAAGCTACTTGGATAAGTCATGAAGCATCTTCGGTATTTTAGATGTTCGTAGTATTCCAAGTCATCCAAGAAGCTTCCTTAGTTCTGGAATTTTTAGGCTAACTGGATACGTCTTGTCACAACTTCAATGTTAAAGAACAAGTGCAGTTGAACGTGACAAATTAACACTAACTGTATCTATTTAGATGTTTGTGATTGCAAGAAGCTGTCAAAGTTCTCAAATGGTTAGGCAACTTAGATAGGTAGTGAAACATCTTAAGTGTTCATCCACTCCCTCATCGTATCACGACTCGACTACTGCAACTCCATCCTCACTGGCCTGCCTTGCCGCTGGCTATCCCCATTTCAGTCGATCCTGAATATGGCTGCCAGACTCATTCACCTTTTTCCAACCGCTCCGTTTCCGCCACCCCCCTCTGCCAATCCCTCCACTGGATCCGATTGCGCAACGGATCAAATTCAAAATCCTAACACTGACGTACAAATCTGTCCACCATACTGCCCCGAAGTACATCACTGACCTAATATCCAAGTACTGCTCAGTATGCACACTCCGCTTCTCACAAGACCTCCTTCTCTCTAGTTCCCTGGTCTCCTCCTCCCATGCCCGCCTCCAGGACTTCTCCAGGGTGTCACCCATCCTCTGGAACTCCCTGCCCCAACCCATCAGATTATCACCTACTCTCCTCTCCTTTAGGTGCACCCTGAAAACCCATCTTGTCAGGGAAGCCTACCCCACCCCCTGCTAACTTGCCAACCTCCTCCACTCATCCTACCACTCCATCCCCCACAGCTATCTCCTCCTGTGCCACCATCCCCTCCCTCCTAGATTGTAAGCTCGAAAGAGCAGGGCCCTCGATTCCCTCATGTTTTGCATTGTATTGGTATTGTTCTGTCACGTTCTGTCCCCCTTTGTAATGTACAGCGCTGAGCGAACTATTGGCGCTTTATAAATACTGTATAATAATAATAATAATGTTACAGAACAAGTCAAGTTGAATGTTCTACACTACTGGGTATAACCAATTTAGATGTTTCTGAAGGTGTTTCAGGTCATCCAAGAAGCTTTCTTAGTTCTAAAATGGTCACGCTACTTGGATAAGTCATGAAGCATCTTCAGAATTACAGAACAAGTCCAGGTGAATGTGAAAAACTACTACCAGATATAGCCAATTTTGAAGTCCATGGTACTCCATGTCATCCAAGAAGCTTCCTCAGTTCTAGAATTGTTAGTGTTACTAAACGGAGGACCCTGCATTCACTATATCTGGTCTCCCACAGTACACATAACATGAACATGCAATTATTTTAGTAAATATACACTGCTAAATACCTTTTATCATCAGCAGTCTTGTGACTTCTATCAGTGTTCAGCAGAGCGCTGGTTACAGCTTGTAGGAGGAGTTTTCATTCTGCTCTAGGAGGATGCAGGACCTCTGTCTGGACAGCGTTGATTAGCCTTGTGCTGATCACATGCACTCCCAAGAAAAAAAAAAACAAAAAACTTATCTAGCAATACATACCAAACTGAGCTTGTGCAGAGTGTCTCCACAGCATATGTCTTATCAGGAGATAAGCGGGGGACACTAAAAAAAGAAGGGGAGGATCAGGGAAGCAGGACCCCTGACTTCTGTCTGGACAGTGCCAATTAGCCTTGAGCTGATCACATGCACTCTCCCAAGAAAAAAAAAAAACCTTCTCTAGCAATACACACCAAACTGAGCTTGTGCAGAGTGTCTCCACACTATATGACTTATCAGGAGATAAGAGGGCGACACTGGAAGAAGGGAAGGATCAGAGAAGTCAGGATCAAACAGTGTTTTTACACAATGCAGATGATTAACCCCTTAGGTTCCACAGTGAGTATAACAAACATGCGTTACTGCATATACACAGACTGATTTTACTGTTGTGGGTTTAATAACACTTTAAGCTAATAGGATAAGTCTTGACACAACTTCAATATTAAAGGAACAAATCCAGATGAATGTGACAAATTGCTGCTAAATATGACCATTTAGGTGTTTGTGGTTGTAAGCTGTCTCAGTTCTGAAATGATTAAAGTGTATTTCTGGGATTAAAACCCTTTGAGGACCAAGGGACGTATTTGTCCCATGTTTTTAATTGCCTGTATCATTTGATTAAGAACTTAAAATACTTTTTTTTTTTTTGGTTTGAGTCAAAATATTAGTTCTTATCAACAAACGGATGTAGCTTTTTGCCAATTATTTCATGAAATGGCTTAGTTACAGCAACTGAAGTGTACGAACTTTAAAAACAAAAAATTGATTCGTTTGGCGTTCCGTAATCTTATGGTCCTCAAAGGGTTAAACGATGTAATCTTTAAACTGCTCTCACCTCCCTTCTAAATCCTATACTAACTACCTTGTAGAAGAAAGATGCTTATACTTACCTATGCTCAGGTTACTCGGTTCCAGTCACGTGATAGTTTCTCCTCTGAAAGATAGCAGTGGCTTCAGGGGAGAGGTGGGATCGCCGTCAGTGGATGTCCCATAGTAAGCATATGGGATATGTCACTGATCAGGCATTCCAGCCATCTTCTCCCCTGCAGCTGACACTGGCTGACACAGTGGAGATCACATGACTAGACTACAGCACCCTTAGAATAGGCAAGTGTAAGTATTTTTCTTCTACAGGATAGTTAGCATAGGTGCTAGGAGGAGGGTGGGAACAGTTCAAAGATTAGAATTACACTTTAAATTTCTTGGAAAAATATTAGAACATCTTCATTGTTATAGAACAATTCCACTTGAATGTGACAAACTAATAAGAGGTATAATCATTTTAATTCATGTCTGTGAAGGTATTCCAGGTCGTCCAAAAAGCTTTGCTAGTTCTGAAATGGTTAAGCTACTTGGGTAGGTATTAGAACGTCTTCAAAATACAGAACATGTTCAGCTGAATGTGATAAATTACTATTAGGTATAATCATTTTAGACGTCTGTGAAGGTATTCCAGGTCATCCAAAAAGCTTCTTCAGTTTTGGAATTGGTAAGCTAATTGGATAAGTGTCAATACAACGTCAATGTTAAAGAACAAGTCAAGTTGAATGTGACAAATTACTACTAAGTATGACCATCTAGATGTTTGTGATGGTAAAAAGCAGTCTCAGTTCTGAAATGGTATAAAGTGTAATCTTCAGTATAACAGAACATGTCCAATTGCATGTGACAAACTATACTATGTGTAACTATTTTAGATATTCATGGTATTTTGGTCATCCAAGTTCAGTTCTGAAATGGTTTGGATAGGAACTTCAGTATTAAAGATAAAGTCCAGTTGAATATGACAAAGTACTACTGGGTATAACTATTTGCATGTTTGCATAGGTATCCCAAGTCATCCAAGAAGCTTTCTCACTTCTGAAATGGTTAAGCTACTTGGATGAGTATTGAAACATCTTCAGTTTTACAGAACAAGTCCTGATGAATGTGACAAACTACTATTATTATTATACAGGATTCATATAGCGACTAGAGATGAGCAAATCGAACTTGGCGAAGTGGAATTCATTTCGAATATTAGGAAAAATTCGATTCGCACCGAATCCGAATTTTAGCAAACTTCGGATGCACGAATCGAATTTTCCCCAATCAGCCGGCAAAAAGTGTCACTGTTCTTCTTTTCATTCTTCTTTTCATTCTTCTTCTTCTTCTTTTCATTCTTCTTCTTCTTCTTTTCATTCTTCTTCTTCTTCTTTTCATTCTCCTTCTTTTTCATTCTTTCTTCTTCTTTTCATTCTTCTTTTCATTCTTATTCTTCTTCTTTCATTCTTCTTCTTCTTCTTTTCATTCTTCTTTTCATTCTTATTCTTCTTCTTTTCATTCTTCTTCTTCTTCTTTTCATTCTTCTTCTCATTCTTCCTTTCATTCTTCTTCTTCTTTTCATTCTTCTTCTTCTTCTTTTCATTCTCTCTCTTCTTCTTTTCATTCTTCTTTTCATTCTTCTTCTTCTTCTTTTCATTCTTCTTCTTCTTCTTTTCTTCTTCTTCTTTTCATTCTTCTTTTCATTCTTCTTCTTCTTCTTTTCATTCTTCTTCTTCTTCTTCTTTTCATTCTTCTTTTCATTCTTCTCATTCTTCTTTTCATTCTTCTTTTCATTCTTCTTCTCATTCTTCTTTTCATTCTTCTTCTTCTTTTCATTCTTCTTCTTCTTCTTTTCATTCTTCTTTTCATTCTTCTTCTTCTTCTTTTCATTCTTCTTTTCATTCTTCTTCTTCTTCTTCTTTTCATTCTTCTTCTTCTTTTCATTCTTCTCATTCTTCTTTTTCATTCTTCTTCTTCTTCTTTTCATTCTTCTTCTTCTTCTTTTCATTCTTCTTCTTCTTTTCATTCTTCTTTTCATTCTTCTTCTTCTTCTTTTCATTCTTCTTTTCATTCTTCTTCTTCTTCTTTTCATTCTTCTTCTTCTTCTTTTCATTCTTCTTTTCATTTTGTTTCCATTTAGGATACAGATGTTTTTATTCGGAAATAAATAGATACAATGTTTCAACCGCTGTAAATGTGAAGGAACTGTCAGAGAACTGTCAGAAATAGCGGAGCTCTCTGCAGATACACTTTTTTGCTGTACTGGAATTCTTCTTCTTTTCATTCTTCTTCTTCTTTTCATTCTTCTTCTTTTCTTTTCATTCTTCTTCTCTTTTCATTCTTCTTTTCATTCTTCTTCTTCTTCTTTTCATTCTTCTTCTTCTTCTTTTCATTCTTCTTTTCATTCTTCTTCTTTTCATTCTTCTTCTTCTTCTTTTCATTCTTCTTCTTCTTCTTTTCATTCTTCTTTTCATTCTTATTCTTCTTCTTTTCATTCTTATTCTTCTTCTTTTCATTCTTCTTCTCATTCTTCCTTTCATTCTTCTTCTTCTTTTCATTCTTCTTCTTTCTTTTCTTCTTCTATCTTTTCATTCTTCTTTTCATTCATTCTTCTTCTTCTTTTCATTCTTCTTCTTCTTCTTTTCATTCTTCTTTTCATTCTTCTCATTCTTCTTTTCATTCTTCTTTTCATCTTCTTCTCATTCTTCTTTTCATTCTTCTTTTCATTCTCTTCTTCTTTTCATTCTTCTTCTTCTTCTTTTCATTCTTCTTTTCATTCTTCTTCTCTTCTTTTCATTCTTCTTTTCATTCTTCTTCTTCTTCTTTTCATTCTTCTTCTTCTTCTTTTCATTCTTCTTCTTCTTTTTCATTCTTCTTTTCTTTTCTTCTTCTTTTCATTCATTCTTCTTCTTCTTCTTTTCATTCTTCTTCTTCTTCTTCTTTTCATTCTTCTTTTCATTCTTCTCATTCTTCTTTTTCATTCTTCTTCTCATTCTTCTTTTCATTCTTCTTCTTCTTCTTTTCATTCTTCTTCTTCTTTTCATTCTTCTTTTCATCTTTCTTCTTCTTCTTTTCATTCTTCTTTTCATTCTTCTTCTTCTTTTCATTCATTCTTCTTCTTCTTCATTTTCATTCTTCTTCTTCTTTTTCATTCTTCTTCTTCTTTTCATTCTTCTTTTCATTCTTCTTCTTTTCATTCTTCTTCTTCTTCTTTTCATTCTTCTTCTCCTTCTTTTCATTCTTCTTCTTCTTCTTTTCATTCTTCTTTTCATTCTTCTTCTTCTTTTCATTCTTCTTCTTCTTCTTTTCATTCTTCTTTTCATTCTTCTCATTCTTCTTTTCATTCTTCTTCTCATTCTTCTTTTCATTCTTCTTCTTCTTCTTTTCATTCTTCTTTTCATTCTTCTCATTCTTCTTTTCATTCTTCTTTTCATTCTTCTTCTCATTCTTCTTTTCATTCTTCTTCTTCTTCTTTTCATTCTTCTTCTCTTCTTTCTTTTCATTCTCTTCTTCTTCTTTTCATTCTTCTTTTCATTCTTCTTCTTCTTCGTCGTGCCCCGTGACTGCCCAAATGAGTGAAGTGTGCGGTGATTCTAAGATCGACGGCACTCATCTGCATGTCATACTGACTGACAGTATTATTTCTCTTCCCCAGCAGACTCCAAGGGCATTTAAATTAAAGGTACAGTGTTCTGCACTAATATAAAGGCTCTCTGAAGCCTAGAAACCCTTTTAATAAGTTAAATTCGCAGCGAATAAATTCGCATCGAATCGAATTTCTCCCGCAAATTCGGCGAATCAGCGAATCGAATTTTTGAATAATTCACTCATCTCTAATAGCGACAACAGTTTGCCCAGCGCTTTACAATATAGCGGGAGACAATACAGCAACAATACAGTTCAATACAAGAGGGTTTAGGAGGGCCTGATCCTTGGAGCTTACAATCTAGGAGAGTTATAATCATGAAGATGTTTGTGAAGGTATTGAAGGTTCTTCAAGAAGCTTTCTAAGTTCTGAAATGGTTAGGCTACTGGAATAAGTTTCAGTTTGTGAAGCAACTTCAATATTTTTGAGCAAGTCCGGCTGAATATGAAGAACTGCTGCTAGATATAACCATTTTTGCAGGTTTGTGAAGGTATTCCAAGTTAGTGGATCCAGGCAGCTTCCTTGTTCTAAAATACTACAAAACATGTCCAGTTGAATGTGATAAAACTATTGCTAGGTATAACTATTTTAGATGTCCGTCTAATTCCAAGCAATCCAAGAAACTTCATCAGTCCTGGAATCGTTACGCTACTTGGACAGGTATTAAAACCTGCTCAATATTGAAGAACAAGTCTAGCTGAATGTGACAACAAATATACTACTAGATATAACCATTTTAGAGGTTTATAAAG